CTCGGTATGGGCATTATGAGTTCTTGGTTATGTCATTTGGGTTGACAAATGCCCCAGCAGCTTTCATGGACTTGATGAACCGAGTGTTCAGGCCTTATTTGGATTCATTCATGATAGTGTTCATTGATGATATATTGATATACTCCCGCAGCTAGGAGGAGCACGAGCAACATCTTAGAGTGGTTCTTCAGACTCTGAGGGATAATCAGTTATATGCGAAGTTCTCGAAGTGTGAATTTTGGTTGGGTTCAGTTACATTTCTGGGTCATGTTGTATCAGCCGAGGGTATTCAGGTGGACCCAAAGAAGATAGAGGCAGTCAAGAGCTGGCCTAGACCAGCATCAACTACAGAGATTCGGAGTTTCTTGGGGTTGGCAGGCTACTATAGACGGTTCGTGGAGGGGTTTTCATCTATTGCAGCCCCGATGACCAGATTGACCCAGAAGGGTGCCCAGTTCAGATGGTCGGATGAGTGTGAGGCGAGCTTTCAGAAGCTCAAGACAGCTCTGACTACGACACCGTATTTTGGTTCAGATGGAAATGATTAAGGAAAATGAAAATGAAATTTGATTAAAAGACTATGGTATCGGGCTCGTATTTTGGTTCCGACACCCGGTACAAGTCTTATATATGGTTTAAGCGCTTTCTGTAAAGTTTGGTTGAAAACGGACGTCGTTTGACGTGTTTCGGACTTAAAATGGAAAATTGATGTTTTATGAAAATTTGGAAGAAATCATGAGTTTTGAGGCTTGATTTGATGTATATGATGTTATTTTGGCGATTTGATCGCGCGAGTAAGTCCGTAGGATGTTTTTGAGGTTGTGTGCATATTTGGTTTGGAGCCCCGAGGGCTCGGGTGAGTTTTGGGCAGGTGTCGGAGTGCATTTTTAAACTTAAAAAAAAATCTGGTATGATCAGGCCTGCAGGCTTCGCATTTGCGAAGCCTAGTTCGCAAATGCGAACTCGCAAATGCGAAACCAGCCCAGGCTTGCCTTGGATCGCAAATGCAAAGAAATCCTTCGCAAAAGCGAAGGTCAAGTGTTCGCAAATGCAAGGCCTTATTCGCAAATGCGAAGGTCTCCAGATGGGTCTGAGTTCGCAAATGCGAACTATGGTTCGCAATTCCCACATTTGGTCGGGGTTCGCAATTGCGAACCCCAGCTCGCAATTCCCATATCTGCAACCCAACAATTTTCATACTTAGTCGAATTTTAGGCCATTTTTCACCCCACTTTCAAAATACAACTCCTTAGGCGATTTTTCAAGAACAAGTATCATCCCAAATCATTTGTAAGTCGATTTTTACTTAATTCTTTCAATCATTAACATCATTTAACATGTTTTCCACTTAAAATGAAAGATTTACATGGGTGAAATTGGGAGTTTTGGGTAAAACCTAGGTTTTCTAAAAATTGGTTTCAAAACAATTTACATATTTGAGTTCGTGGGGGAATGGGTAATTGGGTTTTGGTTCGAACTTCGGGTTTTGACCACGTGGGCCCGGGGGCAATTTTGGAATTTTGGGAAAAACTTTGAAAAATTTATTTTTATGCATTCAAATTGATTCATTTAGTGTTTATTAAAGTAATTAAGTAATTTGTGGCTAGATTCGAGCGGATTGGAGGTGGAATCACGGGGTAAATCTATAGTTGATGCTTGAGTTGAGTTCAAAGCATCGAGGTAAGTGTTTGGTTTAACCCTAGCTTGAGGGAATGGGAGTTGAGTCTTATTTGTAACTTGCTAATTGTCGAGTACGATGTATAGACATGGTGACGGGTATCTATACATTGGTGTCTAGCATGACCGTGAGTCCTTGTTTTGCAAATAGTTTGGTTGTTGTTATGCCTTCCATGCTTAAATGATGACTTCTACATGTTGTAAAGATCTTGTGAAAGAGATTGTGATCTTTGAACTTCGTGGAGCATTGGCTCGGGATGAACTACAAATTGTGAAGGTGTATGAGATAAGTAACTCCTTGGAGCATTGGCTCAAGTGATAATGTGAACATTGAGATGAAAGTGAAAGAAAGAGAAGAGTTAATGATTTATTCCCTTGCCGGGACGTTGTTGGTTATTGATGTTGTACCCTTGCCGGGTTTTTATTTGTTGTTTGTGTACCCTTGCCGGGACTTCCATTCTTGTTTTATTATTCCCTTGCCCTTGTTTGTGATTTGTTGATTGGGTGAGTAAGAGTGTTAAAGCACGAAGGGTGATGCCGTGCATTGAATGATAATTGTGGATCGGGTTGCGCGCTGCAACAATGCTAAATGATATGGATCGGCATTCCAAATACACTGTTATTTCCTTTCCAAAACCACTCCTCCTCTTCAAATCAAAGATCGAAGGC